TAGTTTACAAAGATCAATGACTACTGATATTTATATAACGGTGCTTAATGGTAGTCTTAGTCTGAAAAATGTTTTACCCACTTGAATTGTCTATAATGGAGCCTTTGAGACAATTATAGACTACCAAGGAAAATATTTTTTTACAAAGTGATGATAATGATGATACAGTTTAATAGCTTCAGTACTGACAACATAGGTGCTTCCCATTTACAGTTCAGGACCTACTTAAGCTGTCTGAGAGTCCATGGGCGGGAGTTAAATTCTCAAGAGCCATGCTAGCTTTTCTGTAATTAATAATGATAATAGGGCAGAGGGTACTGTCAGGAGAAATCTCCTTCCTGACGAAAACAGCTTTAAATCTTGCATAATTCCATTTTTTTATTTGTTACTGGCAAAGTTTTAAAGCTCTAGAAGATGAAAGTTGATAACTGAAGTGATGACTGGCTGACAACCCTGCAGCAATACCACCACGAACCACGTCAACCTAACAAAAGAAAAAACCTCCAACCTCTTTGCTTATGACAAACTCAGTGAATAAAACTCTGCTTTATATTTCAGAGGGTAGACTGTAGCCATGTTCAACAGTGTTCAGCTCTGTTTTCTTTGATTGGCACATACAACTAGATTCTTATATATTAATAGACTTGCTCTTCAGACAACAGGAAAAAAGAAAAGGCTTTTCAGCTTGTTGGTGGAATACCAGATTTGCATTTTTGTGCAAAGTTTTCAATCTCTTTGAAAACTGCTATCCAGAGGCTATTAGAAAGATGTGGAGTATGGTGCCTTTGCCTCTTCAGAAGAGAAAGGCAACCAGCTGTTTAATTATTATTGCAGCTTATATACCTTCCAAGTCTTTTGCCTTACACTTAGGAAATGTGAGTTCCCCTGCTTAAATGGGTGTGTAGCTTTTGCTATATGCCTAGGACATGTTAGTCCTTCGAACAGTTTCAAAACTCAGTAGGTCAAAAGATACAGCCTTAGGACTTCATCTCTTTGTCTAAAAGTCATTTAAGTTCCAGTGGGTGAGTTTAGTGTATTCAGCAAATGAAGCACACACTTTTTATTTTGCTGATTGTAAGCTTGATTTGAGATCAAGCAGAAGGAAATTATCAGAATGGGGTCAGGAAAGCAATTTATCATACAGTATGTGTTACAAATGGCATTTTTCAGAGTTATTTTATATTCAGGTGTTAGTAATTTCTACTTCTTTCTAAATTTTGTGTGTCAGGTCTGTTTAAATACTCCTGAATATGGCAGTTTATAAGAATTGTCATATTTATTATATATCGTTGCATACATGATGCTTATATTGATCGTTTCTAGCTGTTGGTTTTTGCCACACCTTGTCACATTAGTCAGGTTTAATGTTTTTTTTCCTAATTTCCTTAAATTTCTCACCTCTTTGTAACTATGAAGCTGCCTGCAATGCACCTTCAAAACAATTTTCGCATATGCAATGGAGTGATAGTAAATTGTTGCTATGAAGCAAAGAACTGGTTTTTTTGTAAACGTAATTTCAGGTTAATTACTGTGGAACTGGAAATGCATACCTTATCTAACATGTTTCTATTCAGAAATTGAGCTTCATTGTCTCTTGCTTTTAAAAACCATTATGACTTAATTGATTTCAGTAAATTTGCCCCTAATTTTGAGTAGTGAGCATTAAGCGACTGGTTGTTTTGGGTTTTTCTCATCTTTAGTTTTTGTATGGAGGGAAGTAAGTTGGGGCTGGTTTTGGAAATAAAATACAAATTCTCTCCTTATCTACTTATTGAGCATATACTTGCAATCCTGTTCTTCACAAACACTATTGCAATAGGAATAAGTACGCCCCAGTGAAGTAACTCCTATGTCGAGGTTATTAAATTCCAGTCGCAGGACAGTGAAGCTGCTTGTGTCTCAAGATGTAAACTTTGATCTCAGCTTGTAGAACTGAGGTAGAAGGGAAGAAAGAGTGAAAGTGGAATGACTTCTAGTTCGATTCACAATATCTGGGGGTTTTTTTAGCACATTAATCTTATGGAAGAATGAAATGACAGACTAAAGTTAATTCCACTCCTTGAGTCTCTGAACGCATATTTTTTATTTCATTTACTAGGATACACAGTGGTGTTTCTTGTAACTCTATAAGCTGTCGCACTCAAAACAGAGTCATAACATAACATTTCCATTATGTCCAGACCCACTTCAGCAAAATAAGATTCAGCCTCTCTCCTTTGAGAGAGATGAAAATATAACCTTAATAGCTACTGTCGGAGAGCCGCCTTCTCGCTTTCTATTTCTTCTCTAGTCCTCGTGTGAATTGGGTTCACTGACATATTAGTGAGATTCTCTGTCTGAACCTTTTTGTAATCACTATATTCTTCCAGGATTGTAGTGTGGGTAAGTTTTATGTCCTTTTATAAAACATCACCTGGTACTGTTTTGTTATTTTTCCTGTGTTTTGAACAAGAGATAGTGGAATTTAGGTTAAATGGATTTTGATGTTTGAAGACCTTATTGTAGTTTGGAATTGTCGTAATATGCTAAAATAATACTAGGTCAGTCTGATCCAAGCACAAGATCTGTTCTTAATCACCTCCTCTCTGCCAGGAAATGCTATTCTTAGAAAAGCTATAAAAGGTAAAATATCTTAGTTTAAACTTGAGACTGGGTCCAGTACATCCACTTTTAGGTACCTGATGTGTGCCAAATAATTTTAAGTGTTCTCTATAGTACTTCTACTAAAATGAAATCATTTTTGTATGCAATGAAGAGATTGCTACTATTTTGCCAGATGGAGGTCCCTGGTGGTGTTTCAAATGAAGGTGATTTGAAACCCTTTCAGAGGTATTTTGCATTAAATGTTTAATTTTGAAATGTCTCCTCCACATCTTACCAAAACTGTTGTTGACACCTTGTATTAGCATTTGTTTCTCAGGCTTCCTAATCAGTTTGCATTTGCCATATTAAGTAGGGACTCTGTATGATAGAAGGATAGAGTTCTTGTACAACAATTTTCACAAAAGAATCCAAGCTTAAAATATGCTGATAAAATTTTTCAGTTAATGAAGGCTAACATAATCTGTGTATGATTGTATATAGTAATATTACTAGATAGACTAAATCATCTATGCAGTAAGGCTAAAGGTTTTCAGCAAAATTTCTAATGTGTGCTGGGAGGAAAATACACAGCTCTTCAGCAGCAGGACTGGGAATTCGTGTAGGTAATAAAAGGTATCCTATTAAGCAACTGTTATTGCATACTGAACTCTGTGAGTGGCAGTTTACTGGAGAATATTAATACAAAGATCTAGTACTGATACAGTCTGACTGCAGTTGACTAGTGGACTGGCCTAATTTCCTGGAAATAGAAAAAATTCCTTTTGCCATGAAAGATGTCCTCAGCACAGAACAACTGCGATTCAGGTGCTGGAGTGCAAATGGTGTATGAACTCAAAGACACAGAGCATTGTGGGTTGGATGGGACTTTGAGCAACCTTGTCTAGTGAAAGACGTCCCTACCCACTCAGCAGGACAGGGCTAGATGACATTTAAAGGTCCTTTCCAGACATTCTATGATCTAGGTGCCTACCTCTCATAGTCTTTACTGAAAACTTCTATGGCTAAGTCTAAGTTTTTTTTTCACCATGCCAATTATAAACAAACTGATTGTAGTCTAAAACAAATTAGAGTCTTCCAGTTGTTCTATGCTTCTGCCCATGGTGCTGGGAAACAAAAAGAGCTTGTGTACCGTTAGTCATGATAATCTGCTGACTCTTGAGTGGCCCTGCTCTGGGCTACAGGCTAAATTTGACCCAGGAGTAAGTTAGGACTTGCCTCCAACTGACTGCTGCGTATGGAGGTAGGATAACACGGGGTGGTGCCGTGTGAGGTTTTTGAGTGCTCTGTGAAAATAGCCCTTTACTCTGATCTTCAGCTCCACATGGGAGGTGAGGGCTGTGGTCATGAGACTTCAGAGAAACCTGTGACTTGCCTGGGCAGAAGTCCACACTTACCATATAGTTTTGAATGTCCCTTATATTGGTATCTATACCACGCTTTTGAGATTTCATCTACAGTTTTCAAACAAACAGTGATTACAGCTCATAAAACATAATTTTCAGTTTGCTATATGACATTTGTCTTGTGATTCTCAAAGGTGTGATTCTTTTTTAGGTACTAGTTAGAGTTAGGAGTTCTTGGTATACAACTATTAAAGAGATGATGAGATCAGGTCTTGCAGTATTTCTGACAGCCTCCTCTTGACTGTAGACAGACAGACATGACAAAACATCCTTTCTCTTGGAAAATCAAGCACAATGATGATGTTTGCGTTCCTTACCTTAATGTTACTACCACAGAAAAATTACTCTATCAGCAGTTTTAATTAAAAAATTTTAGGTGTTCTTGAGTGGACAGAATAAATTAGCTTTATTAATCTGTAGTTCTTTACACTTCCTTTGTGGTAGTATGTTTGACACATTGTTGCAATTAAGTTTAGAACATTGCCCAAGAACACACTGGAAAAATAATACTTTTCTTTTCTATTAAAGGCACTCTGTCTTTCGAAATGTTTCCACTCTTTAGAAAACTGACTTTTTGGACAGTGTTACAGATCGTGATTTAGAAACATATAACACAATTCGCAGCTGGCGTAAGTCTTTATATATATGTAGTCTCCTGGGCAAGCAAAAGCTTTCTGAGAATAAGGAAACTGGTATTAGAAGAGAACTCTGACTTGCTGAAGAGAATTTTCTTTTTGGTCTCATTTTGTTGTTGTTTTTTTGAGTAACATTTTGTGACTCTTTTTTTTCCTCTCGTCTATTCTTTTTTCTATTGTTGCTGCCTTAGGCTGTGGGTTAAACAGCACAGCTCTGGGATGTCTGTTCATAGAAGGTTATGTCTGCTATAGCTCTTTGTGGAGAAAGTATATCTTTGTATTGGGTTTGCATGGCAAGGTTTTGGTAGCAGGGAGGTACAGGGGTGGATTCTGTGAGAAGGTGCTAGAAGTTTTCCCCATGTCCGACAGAGCCAACGCCAACCACCTTCAAGATGAGCCCGCTGCTGGGCAAGGCCGAGCCATCAGTGATGGTGGTAGGTACCTCTGGAGTAACATATTTAAGAAGGGGAAAAAGTTACTGTGCAATGAGAGGAGTGAGAGAAACAACTCTGCAGACACCAAGGTCAGTGAAGAAGGAGGAGAAGGAGGTGCTCCAGATGCTGGAGCAGAGATTCTTCTGCAGACTATGGTGAAGACCATGTTGAGGCAGACTGTTTCTTTGCAGCCCATGGAGGTTCATGGTAGCCTGTGGAGTACCTCACGATGGAGCAGGTGGATGCCCAAAGGAGGCTGTGACTCTACGTGAAGCCTGCTCTGGAGCAAGCCCCTGGCAGGACCTGTGGAGAGAGGAGCTCAGGCTAGATCAAGCTCGCTGGCAGGACTTGTGATCCCACAGGGAGCCCACACTGTGGCAGTTCGTGATGAACTGTCTCCTGTGGGAAGGACTGATGGTGGAGAAGTTTGTGGAGGGCTGTCTGTCATGGGAGGGACCCCACACTGGAGCAGGAGACAAGTGTGAGGAGGAAGGAGCAGCAGAGACAACATGCAGTCAACTGACCACAATCCTCATTTCCCATTCACCTGTGCCATTGGAGCTGAAGAGACAGAGAAATTTGTGTGTAAAATTAGGCCTTGGAATAAGGGAGGGGTGGAGGAAAGTGTTTTAAGACCTAATTTTTATTTCTCACTACTCTACTCTGATTTGATTGGGAATTAATTTCACCAAGTCAAGTCTCTTTTGTCCATGTCAATAATTGCTGAATGATCTCCGTGTCTTTATCTCCAACCACGAGCCTCTCATTATATTTTCTGTCCCCTCTCCAGCAGAAGAGGGGAGTGATAAGACTGACTTTGGTGGGCATCTGGTGTCCAGCATGGCTCAACCTACCACAGTCCTTACTGACTTTGAAAACATACTGAGCGTTTCGATTCACTTCCTTGTGAACATTGTAAACTGTTTTTCCCAGAGCCAGTAATTGATCCTGTGGATGAGAACAGTCCTTGAATAATACTGTTACCTTGTTCCAGTAGCTCATATGCTCATGACAGCGTTGCTGTTACCTGTCTTGGCCTTGCCATACACCTTGTAAGAAGCTCCATCTCTGTTAGGCCCAGGTTTCAGCCCAACAAGTGGGATTGTGTAGGCGCTCTATCAACGGCTGTTTGCATAGTTCTATTTTTAATGGTTAAGGGCCCACGTGGATGCCTAATAAAGCATATCAGGCAATTTCTGTGAATCAATAGCTTTTCTATTTTTAAAGTAATGAGATGCTGTCACATAGTTGTGTTTAATAAGTACAGTTTTAGAGTGTGTTGTATTAAGTCTCATATATTGCCTGCTGTTTAAAGGTTGGATTCCTCCGTGCTCTGGAGTTGAAATACAGACTTCTCTTTTCTTTTTCATATACTATTTTGCATTGGTGGTGTAGTATTTGTTTACAGCTTCACATTAGAGGAATGTGTGCATGGTTTATTCGGGAACTGTTTCTTTCACTTCCCTGTGGCATTAAAAAGTAGCTTAAGGTGCATAGGATATAGTGCGTATGTGACTACGAGATAGCATTAAGATATGTCTGCTGCATTAATGTAAACTAAAAGCCTTTTGAATTTGTTCAGCAGCTTCTCCCCCTCCTCATAATGTTTCTGTGCATATAAAATGAGAAATTGGCTTCTTCTATAGCTGCCATTGAAAAATTGTCCCAGTAATGTAAGCCCAGAGGGCCAAATATGTGATACTTGTTTGGGAACAGTTCTGTGCAGCTGTTATTTTTTTGGCACCAAACTTACTTTCTTTTTAAGCCTCTTAGCAATAACTTGAATTCATGGTAGGTTTTCTCATAGCAGAGAAGGGTAAACAGACTGACAGCACTTTGAGTGAGTTAGCCAGTGGCAGTATGTTTCTCTGGACTTAGCGAAGTAATCACCGTGTCGCATATTCGTGTATCTTGAAGAGTACTTATATTAATACTCTAGTACAACAGAAAAAAAAGAAAATAGATCTGCAAAAATTAAAGCTCCAGAACAGACTTCTACCTGCTCCCTACTAAAATGAATAATGGATAATTTCAGTGAATTTTCCGAAGTGCTAATCAAAAATATAATGATTTGCAAATCATTACTCAATTAAATTGGAAGCAGTAATTTTAATTTTCAGCAATTATAGTCATTATTTTTCTTAATCTTTGGAAGTTGTGGTTTATCAATCACACTTGCTCTTTATATCTAGCTTATGATTTTGAAGTAGCCATTATTTGGTGCTTGCTGTTTGTTTTAATAGAAGCTTTACTTTCATTTAACTTCCACGTTAAGATGAACTTGAATGGTACTGGTTATGAGAGTAGATCAGCTGAAAGGTATGTGAGATGAAAGGTATTGTGAGGTCAATACTGCAGCACCATTACCCTTTGGTTTTATGGGACAGACCACATTTAGGTTCAGCCTTCATGGTTCAGCACATCAGCACCACATGCCTGGTAATGTAGACACGGCTCAAATATTTTCGCTGAGCGTGCATAAAAGCAGGGCTTAATTCCTCCTGTGACCATGGCTGAAGTGGGTGTCTCTGTAAGGTGATAAATTCAAATTTCATTTTTTTTCATAAGCAAATTCATTTGGAAGGAATGGGAGGGAATACTACAGCAAAAAATAGAATATTCCTGTTCTTCATCTCCTCAGGAGGCCTTTTTTGCTAAGGGGTTTGAGCTGACATCCCTTTAGTAAGCCCCTAAGTCAACAGGCTTCAGGTTAATTTGTATTCACTGGCTAGCACTCATTTGAATTCTATTCTTTAAAAGACAGCTTTTGCCTTTAAAACACAGTACTATATATGTATGTGTATATATATGAAATTATATGTTTATGTGCTTTATATATACATACATGGGCATATAAATGGTGTATACTTATATATGTGTATATATATGTATGTAACATAATAGCATGAAAAAATCATGTGGGATGTTAGAAGTAGACTCAGACCCTTAGGGTACATTGAAAGGCTGAGTCCCATTTTCTGGACTAGTGCTGTAACACTTAGGCTATTGTGCAAAAAGTAATTTCTGTTGCTTGCCTTCCTCATCCCCACTCTTGCTAAGCTGCTGTAAGTGATTCTGAGGTCAGCTGTTAAACTGCTGGTTTTTTCTCCTCTTAGCCATCATGGGCAAACATAGTCATGCATTTTTAAGCTAGCTTTCACAGTCGTGAAAGTGTGAATGGAAGGATGTTGGGAGGGAACTGCAAGACTGACCTTTTGCCACTAATTGCAAGACAGTTGTCTGCTAAAGATCATTTATTTAAGAAAAATCTTAAAATTCTCCTTTTTTTTTTTTTTCCCCTGATTGTTTTGCTAACGCAGGAGCCTTCAGCTCCAATTCATCAGTGGTTCTGGTTGGTTTCAACTAATTTTTTGGAATTTCAGACCTGTTCCAGTGACAGCTGTATGGTGGCTAGTCTTTTGCATTGCTTATACTGTTTTTGTCTGCCTTGTTATACTGCAGATATCTTAAGGGGAAAGTCTCAGATTCCCCCTGAAAGACATGAGAAGGATAGGAGAAAAATGGGGAATGAAAATAAAGCACTGTGCTTTATTCAGTGGCATAGTCTTTTGCTCCCTCAGTGACTAATTTTTATAATGCTGTTGTATTTTTACATTTCAGTACTTTGACATAATAATGTTGGGTTTTTTTAGAGATGAAGCTGTAAGTCATAGACTGTAGATAGTAGTACCTTGAATTATTACCAAAACCACCAGCAGGATCTTGCAAGTTGGTGGTTATGCAGGTTTTATCCTGGCAGTGTTGTTTCTTAAACTCAGTAGTAGTCCACATACCATTTGGAAACGTGATGAATGCACCACTACTTGATACTCTTACCCTCAGTTTTATGGATATTTCAGGAATAGGCTCACTTGTGTAATCGAACAGGCTAAGAGCATGTGCTGCCTGTGGGGAGAGGGGTTGTAGAGTGTCAGGCTTGGTGACAGATCTCCTTAGAGCACAGAGCCTTACTGAGAGGCATCCATTGCCTGGCTTTCCTGCAGCGCTGCAGCATTTGTTATACTCCTGAGTCTTACAGGCTTGGGACAACAGGTCAGGGAGCTGATCAGCCGTGTCTTTTTTATGCTGGAGAGAGTGGGGGGGAACCATGAGTTCGTGATTTTGCCAATTTTGAAATAAGTGGGCATGGAGACCATTGATCGAGTTCTGCATGTGGTACTCAAGACTTGACAAAATTAGTCTTTCTGATGGGAAGTGTGTCACTAATTTGGCTTTGTCATTACTGTGTTCTTTAACACTGTTCAGTCGATATAGTGGGAGTTTAAACACACAAAGACCTGTTCTACATTTAAAATGATAGAAATGTCATTACTGTTTCTGTAGCTCCATAAGTAGAGGAAACTTCTAATACTCTCTGGAATGTTGATTGCTCTCACCATTTCAACAGTTGTGTAGATTTGTTTGCAAATTAACATTTTGTACTGTATTAATGCCACCAACTGAGTTGCAAAAAGCAAAGCAAAAATTTCCACTTCTATAATTATGTTCTGGTTTATAATTATATTTATGTCTTGTACCTCAAATGAGCATTTCCGTAATTCATGTGGCTTCTTACACTGTTGCATACCCTAAAAAGATTACAGGGGTATGGTGAAGGAAAAAAAATCCTAGTCATCTTGTGTGTTAATTTAGTATCGATGGTGAAGAAATTAATGAGATTTTCCGAATCTTGGGTCAAAATCTTGGTAAAAATTACTAAATTGTGTTTACATTTTTCTAAACTGAATACTGAAGATGTTTCTCTTCTATGTATGGACAAGAATCTGCCTCACAGGTATGGACACAAGGAACCTATTGCTTGAATTAGAATTCTTCCCTTTAACCAAATAAAAATTTTGTAGAGTTTATCTGTTCAGGATCTGATTTTGACTTACTGGAATACACCAAATGTACACAATTCAAATTCTATTTAGACTACTAGCACAAGGGTAAATCATAGGTGTATTACAACTAGGAAGCTTGATGCAAAGTTGAGATGGGTTATTCAAACAAAGAAGAACTAAGAAGTAGTCATTAATGCTAACATGAGCTTTCATGTCTACTAAGACCATCTCTTTGATAAACCAGAGATTATTTTAGAAATACAATAACATAATTTTAATAAATTCAGAAGGTGTATAACCTTCTGAAAAAATCAAGTTTCATACTCTTTCATGAAATTGTAATCACCTGTCTTAAGCTGTCTTTATGTGTCAGTGGTTGATAAAGCTGAGATTTCGACACTGCCTTGATGCTTGCTGTACCCACAGCCTAGGTAGATTTGCACTTCTGTTTCTGACTCTGGGGTGATTTGAGCAGATCATACACTCCAGTTACGCACTGTGTGCCAAGGGACCTGTAGGTTTTTCTGAATATGTGTCAGTATATTTTTGTGCTGGATCACAAATTGAGTAATCCAGTCCCGTTGTCATTCCTGTCGCTTTGTTTGTATTTATTGTGACTGGCTTTTACACACTGTAAACAGCACCGGTGGAGTTGACTGTGCTTTTTGTATAGAAGCAGGGTTGCTATAAAAATGACTAGAAGATGATATGTGGCTGGGGAATGAATATTACTCATTGCCAGTGAAATGTAGTGAGTGGATGGACAGTACATTGTGCAGACAACATCCGTGTAAAAGATCTGTCAATGGACAAAAGCTGGAAAGATAAAGACTATTTCAAAAGGCAGAAGAGAATAAAGCTGAGGTTATATATTTAGTGCAAATTGCAGGAGCTAGGACGACTTGCTTTCCCTTCCCACTGCCACGTTTGTCCTGTTGTGTTCTCAGCTTGTATTCCTGATGGGAGCTGGTAGCTGGAGCTGGATTCAGTTGCTGAAATGTGTGTGTTTATTACCATTTGGAATGCTGTAGGGCATCTGGCTGCTCATGCAGTAAGGTGTGAGTCTCACCCAGATTATTTTTTTTCAGTGTCAGCCCTGTGCGGATGTCTTGGCTGTACTGCAGTGTCTAAGATACCAGTAGATACCTACGGTTAGGCATTTAAACTTCTTATTCCTCTTCCTTGTATTTCATTGTATTCATTTCATTGTATTCATTTCATTTCATTGTATTCATGTGTGTATTAGATTTAATTACTGCAGATTTGTAGTAGTTTGAAATGATTATTTGTTGTTATATTTAAACTTTGATCAGTAAATCAATGAGTCGTGGGTGAAAAACTAGCCTACCTCGTATTTGTTAAGCACTTTTTTTGAGATTCCTCCATTTCAATGTGAATAAGAAATCTTGAGTTGTATCTTTATATAGTATTTATTTACTGCTGTCTAATTATAACAGGGACATGCAGATTTTCCTTTGTATTCAGTCAAGAGGAATCTATGTCCTTATCTGTTATACACACGTGTAGGAAGTGCAGCTTTTTCAGCAGTGATCTCTTTACATTCCAAATGGAGATTTTACAGGGTGTGTGTGTGCTCATGTATGTGTAGTATTTTTCCCCAGATTTTAGTTTTTATTCATGTGGTCTCACAAAACTTGTCTATTTGAGCAAGTAAAGTTCCCACATCTGTGCTATTATCCAATCATAAGAATTAAAATCATGTTGTTGCTCAAGAATTAGAACTACAGAGGAGCTTACAAGAGGCCATGAATCTTGAGAGGATGGTAAATTTAGTTGGAACCAAGTTGTTGTCCAGAATGCAAACGGTATGATTTCAGGTAGAGTGAAAGTAATGTCCTTGAAAGAAAAGTTGAAGGCTTTTTGAGCTAGCTCTTTTAAGAGATAATTGATGAAGAGAGGGAAGGAAAGACAACTTGCTGACATCTTGATTGTATAAGCGTTTGTGTTGCTTTAAACACTTGAGTAATATTTAAGACTAACATACGTTTAAATTAAATGTAGGCAGTGATCAGTTGTGTTGTCTTAACCAGTTTGGGGGGGGGGTTGTATGTTTTTTGTGGTTTTTTTCTTAGCACTGAGAAACTAAGTAAGTTCTAACACAACAGAATTTTAACAGATTTGACTCAGACTTGTTCATGAGTACTCCTCAGTTGGCAAACTGCAACATTGCATAACAGATTATTTTTAAGTCCGCAATCTGGACATGATTAAGCATTTCTTTGAGAAGCAAAAGAAAATTTTGTTCAGAAGTCAAGTATGTGATATTTAAAATGCAGGAGACTATTAAATTGAGTGTCTTTAGCTAAATAGTTGAGTCTTTAAAATAGCTAAACATATAGTTATTTTATAGACTTGTAGGAAAATTTTCATGTTCTTTTTGATTCCTGGCTTTGTTTTGTTTCTGCTTAGTTTGCTATGTATTACTTGATAGGATGAGGATTCATTTGCAGTTTCAATTTTAAACTTAGAGTAAGAATGCTATGTCCTTCAGCCAGTGAGTCTGAGATATAGAAGAAAGATCAGTGTATCAGAAAAGAGGAATGAGAGAACTGTGAAATTTTAAAAACTGTATTCTTTTTTGTTGTTTTTTTTTTTCCTTTATAATGTTAGTCACATTAACACTTTCCAAAGCCCAGTAGCTTGTGATCCTGCCGTGATACCTTTCCTGTGTGTTTTTTGGATCTCCAAGATTGCTCTTTAACTTTTTTCTGTGAGTGTTGCTGTTTAAGAAGCATATGCAAAGAATAGTACAGGGGCTATTTTTTTCCCCTTTCTTCCTTTTTTAAGCTAAGAGGTGTTTGTGAAACATTTCCTGCCCTGTCAAGCAGTCCAGACCTTGGGCCTTCATCTGATCATTTGGCTCAACTTCGTTTCTAGTTACTGCAGGGGAACAGGGAGAAGAGTGCTCTGGCAGGTGGCGAGCATGTCTTCTGCACTGCTGGTCCTTCACAGGCTGGTAGGTGGGGTGAGGGGTAACGGCCCCTGTGCTTCTCATTTGATTTCAGATCGGACTCATCTGCTGATCTCAGGGCGAGCAGATTGCTGCGGTTAAACGGTGCACATTTGTCAGGCTGCAGGGAAGATCTTTGTATATATCGGTGTCACGGGCTCTGGTCTCTTCAGTTTCTTCTTCATTGTATCTACGTTAAAGCTTAAACTCTGTTGGATGCTTGTACTGAGAAAGTGAGGCAATATCCGCATGAATAATTCTACTATTTTATTATGCCTTTAAAAATATTTTTACATGGCAAGGGATGTGTTGATAAGCGATGTCTCTGATTTCTCTAAATAAATTTCATAAAAACAACTACTTTCTTTCTTTGCTTTTGCTTTTCATTGCTAAAGTTATAATGATAAACATTCCTTTAGAGATACAGAAGGCAAAGACATGCGTGAGAAGGAAATTAAAGCATGGTTAACAGCAGTTGCTAGTGTTTCAGAGGAGACTGCTTAGAAAGACAAACAGACTGGTAGAAAAGCCACTGTTCAAGATCTATGATGAAATGAAGCCAGGAGTTGAAAGGACTTTTCTTCCCCATTTTAGTGCTAAATTAAATGTTACTGACCCTGTTGTTCAAAGACTTGTCTGGGGGGAAAGACAGGAGGGATTTTTTGTTTGTATTTAAGAAAAAAAAAAAAGTTTGAAAATGAAAAACACCTCTGACATAGAAGCTGATATTTTCACTGGCAAAATTCAGCCTGAAGTTAACTCTTGGCAGAAACCCTCTGGAAATCCAAGTGGGTGTGTTCTGCTTGAGTAATCACATGTTAATGCAGAGGTGCCAGCAGCGCTATAATAATGACTGTAGTGTCTTTGAAGGCACTCTGAAGCTTCCGTTCAAAGATGCTCTTAAATAATTAAATCTTCTCTTTTTTTCTTAGTTCAATTTACATGGAATATGTAATGAATCCCCCAGGTACCAGATTTCCTTCCCTTCTTTTCTTTCTCATGCAAAGAATAAATAGAGTATTTTAATTATGACTCTGCTTGTTACCATGCATAGTAAAGAAAGGTAATGAAAGAGCAGGTCCAGATAGTTCTTTGTTGTGACTCTCAGTAACCTTTTCTTAACATTGACACGACAACTTGAAAGACCTAGGTGCCTCTGAGGTTGTGATAGAAGTCTGGCTTCCCCTCTGTAAATAAATAGAGGCAATTTTGCCCACTTTGATATGCCCGCTGGCTCCCAGCAGTGACCATTTACGTGGTCCTGCTTTGTAAGACTGGCTGCTCAGCTGGCTGTACATTGTTTTAATCTTTTTTTTTTTTTAAATATTATTTTGACAGATACCGAGCATCTCTATACGAAAGTGTTTGAAGAGATCTGTGGGCGTTATGGAAAGACATATACCTGGGATGTGAAATCTTTGGTCATGGGTAAAAAAGCCTTAGAAGGGGCACAGATTGTTCGAGATGTTCTAGATCTTCCAATAACCAAAGAAGAGTTGTTACATGAAAGTATAATAAAGCAGGAGAAGATATTCCCTACTGCTGAACTGATGCCAGGTACGTTTCTCTTCAGTATTTATAAACTCTTTATGAGATTACTTAAATGCTAATCTAGGGAAAAGTTTATAATCTGCATTCCACAAAACAATTTCTCTTACAGATTCAGTTTCATCATTCTTGTTTAGCACGTTTTACTCAAATCTACCTATTAAAGAGATATTTTACCCATTAGTACTGAAAAGTCTTTTTTTCTTGTTTACTTGGAGAAGAGCTTTCTTCTTCTTTATGTTTTAAAAGAAGAAAAAAGACTAGGCAAATGTACACAAATTCTGTTTTGTGAATCAGACATTCTTTATAATTGTTGTTGGCCAGTGTGTAACTCAGCAAGTTAGTTTTCTCTGGCTGTGAGCATAGCCTGACTTTATTAAGTACAAATACAGTTTTAAATATGCTCAACAAATGTATGAGAACATGGGTTCTTTTAGCTGGGATTAATCTTGCCTGAAATTTAAGTGTGGTGTCTGAGCCAGCTGCGTGTCAATGAAGAGCAAGGATTTCTCAGGTTATCCTAAGACAGGTAAGTTTCATCACCCTCTGAAGATCCGTGTCTTTTACCAGTGGTTGTGCAGGAAGCCCATGAGTAGCTTAAATCAGGCACCTCAAGATAAGCAAGAGGATGAATCTTTTCTGTGGTGTGAACTCATACTTTTGTATTCCACTATCTTTACATCTGAAATGCTTAAAGAAGAATCCTCAGCCATGCAAGACAAGCAAAAAGCTAGGCTTGCTGTTAACTTATTTTACAATGTTAAACTTCCTGGAGCAATAATTTATGAAGGTTGGCAGAGGGAGGAAAGGAGGAGAGAGGAAGGAATAAAAAAAAAAGAGTATTAGTGACATCTAGTTATTTCACCTTTAAAACAAGTCCAACTGATAGAATATTTTCTCTTTGAATGTGAGCTTGTTTTTTCTGGCAATCTCTAAAGAATGTTAATGTTGGTTTAAATTTTAGATGTTTTTAGTACCTAGCTTCATAATGCATTAAGAGGATGAAAATTAAAAATGTGATATGCTAGCAATAAATAACAGGCAGCAGCAAAAGTAAAAGGTGTAATCTTTTTAGGCAGCTTAAAAACTTGAGTATTTTGTGGAGCCAACTTATGTAGTTATTTCTCTGCTGTCTTTTATATAGAAGATTTTTCCAATAGCATCTTTCTCACTTACAGATCCACCTAAAATTGTAAGCCTATTTAAACTGTCCAGGAAAACAAGATGGAGGGATATATTTTTCATTTTTCATGTCAAACGTCTGAGACTAACTCCGCAGCTTTATCTTCTGCAAGACAAACAAAAAAAAACCTACTCTGGGCTTAGAAAATGCCAGATGGACAGACTGGGTGAGATGTTAGGACACACAGAGCAGAAACACTGCAATGTAACAGCAAGGGTAATAGATGCCATTGGGTGGATAGTCTGTGCCTGCTGAGGATTGTGATAATGTGGCTGCGCTGGCTTGAACAGAGTTGCAGAGAGGTGACAGAACAGATTAGCCAAAAGGAAATTGAAGTTTTGTGCTGTTTCTGCCTTCTAGAAGTGAATTCTGGGCTTACCGAAGCTGGGGTATTGTAGGTGAGACAAGGAAAATTCTTACTGGGACAAGCAAGTAAATATTTTTATCATTGCTGGAATTGTTCAACTGATTGTCTTTCCAGTTCAACTAAATATATGTGATAACTTTCTTCAGGCTATTTTCTAAAGCAGAATTGATGTGAACTTAAATACTTTATGCTTACTGGCCATCGTGGGGAGCAAAGGCAGCTTTGGTCACTGAAGTGGTGGGATCTGTATTTTACTGTGTAGCAGCATATAAGATACAAGCTGTATTGCCATGAATTTGGAGAAAAACAGATTGATGTCAGCTAATATTCTAGACAGAAGTGGCTCCAGCTACTTATTACTTAGTTTCTTTAAGAACTGACCTGTTCTTCAATCTGATAACAAGATTTTTTAATCTGATACTTTTCTTTTTCTTATTGTGTCATCTGAGGATCTTTATGAATGTAATCCTATTAGATTTGTTGTACACCCTCTTAGTGTTCATTAAGTAAAAATGGGCTTCATACAAGTGTTGTGTAAGATGGAAGACTATGGTGACATTTTGAATTTGCAATGTTCTCTGACTAAACTGATCGTTCAGATAGCTACAGGTAAATACAGGAAAGTGAAAGCTAATTGTCACATCTTTTAATGGCGTAAGATGACTCTGACATGCTGAGTCTCTGGCTGTCTTTTGACAGTTAATAGGCAGGTAAGGTTCTATTTTTCAATCAATTTCTACAGTTTTTCCAAAAGCTAAGATTCAAATTTGTTTTGGTGGAGACTGGTGCTGAATGATGACCAATAATATTTGAAAAAGTGACTCAAGAAAAGCAACTCTTGTTTCTAGATGTAGAAAAGCAGCTCTTGTTTCTGGACATAGAATGAGCTATGCACGTTTGTTTCAGCAATGATAACTTTGTTAATTAAGAAATCAAGTAATTGACAGCTATGTCAGTTATGGTTAAGGATGGTGTGGAAGTTGTATGAATATACAATCGGTAAAGCAGTTCTTTGCCTGGCAGGCTATGTCACAGCTGTGTCACTTAACGTACAACAATTCTGAGACATTAGCTCTTGAGGATGAAATTTTGACCATTTCAGTATGGCCAAACTGACAAGCTTCAGTGCATCAAGCTGTGGTCAAAATACAGATTTTATCTAGTAAGAGGATATATCCATTTCTAATGTGGAATTTCCTGATAGCTATTTGAGAATTTTTCACAGATTTATTTTTAGTTCTGAAAGAATCTTAAGGAAGGCTGGTTTTGATTTCAGTGGAGAAAGGAGGTAATCTAAGACAATGCTGACAGAATCACAGGGCTGCTACTTGTGCTGCTTCTCTATTTCTGTCAGAGTAGAGGCATTGTTATCTGCAAAGGTAACACAGTAGGCTTTCTGTTTCTGCAAGTGTAGTATTTATTACATTGCAGAGAAGTGGATTATCAGAAGAATAAGTAGTGACAAGTAGAGCGGAAGAAAATCGTGCATTTGTACATTTACCTATACATCTATAGGTGTGCTTTTGCTTGACATAAACAAAGAGAATACAAAGACATATACACAGAGATAGAAAAACCTAACTCTAAGTTATATGGCTGCCAAGAGTTACTATAATCATGTCAGGGTTATGAAATTACTGCCATTCTTTCCTAGCAGTCTGGGTTTTGGCTCATCATCATCACAAAACACAGATCCTTAAGGACTGTGTTGTTGTATATGCCTTTCAGAAGTTTTCCATTCATAGGTCCTTTTCCTGATAACTAGGATTTCTTTGTTGCAGCTCCTGTTCAGCCAGTGCAGAATGTGATGCGCAAACTATTTTCCAGTTCCAGTACGATTGACTGTCCCTTGCAGAAATGAGGAGGTAATTTCATAGCTCAGTTTTAGTACTAGATGAAATCAGTCAGATATTGCAAAATAAAAAGAATGAAAACCGGCTCCAGTGGCAGCTAAATCTAAAATCATAATTTATTTTTTTTTCTTGAACAGTTTGATTCAAACAGGAGTCTGGTTTGCTTAGCTATTGTTTCCTTCATTCATGTTGTGCCCTTAACAGTTAAATAGACTTCCTACCGTGTTATATATTCTTTTCCTTGCTATTATTGTTTTAATGGTAGCAAGCTCTACTGAGTCCATGCTGAGCTCAGTGAGCCCTTAACCCCTACAGATCAGTCAATTACCTGCATACTTGAAGTGATGCTGTCTGTTTGACTGATTTCGAAAGTTTGGCCTTTGCATTAAATCCTAAAGGAAGTCAGAAACACAGCTGACAGAGGTTCTGAATTGCTTAAAGTTTAGCACTTACATTTTTGCATGGCCATGCATGTGTCAGTATGTACAGACTAAAATCAGATTATCAATTTGGTGAACAGAGAGTCTGTGCCACCAGAAGGATCTCTGGTACTTTTTAGAGAGCAATAAGATGAGAAGACATAATTCTTTATTAATAGCCTACTACTTTCCAAACTGGGAAGTAGGTTATTAGTTTCCACCTCCACTTTTATAACTCAGTGAAAAAAAAAATGCCATTGCAGACAGGATTTTTAATATTTCAGCAAAGAAACACGTGGGTCTGAGAGTTATGTTTCCATAATCTCTTCAGATTCATGGCAATCATATCAAGTGGTTTGAGCCCACCTAGCTGACAACAAAGAACCATGCAGCCACGCCCACCCCCCTCCTTTTCGGGACGGGTAGGAGAAAATTCAACAAAGACTTAACAATTGAGATTAAGGACAGAGACGATTCACCACTTATGGTCACAGGCAAAAAACAGGGTACACTTGGGAAGAAAACATTAATTTAATGTAGACAATAGAACCACCACCAGTTTACCAATCACTAGACCAGAGTAGGATAGTGAGAAAATAAATACAGCCAGATATTAAATAAACCTTCCCCCCACCCCTCCCTTCTTTATGGCTACCTCCTCCTCACCAACAGTGCCAGGGGCAGGAGGTGCAGATTTCAATTTGTCCATTACACGTTGTTCATGCTGCTTCTTCCTGCTCATGGAAGCTAACCGGCCCGCTACCCCTCCTTCCTTTTCATTGACCTTGGTGACTTCGTGGTTGCTTTCCTCACCTCCCACTCCTCTCAAAAACAAAGCACACCCCAACACAAAGGAATGGAAGCTGTCCAACAGGTTTCCTCTCTTAATACATTGATCACAGAGGCCTGCATGACTTAGCTTTTGCCAGAGGTGGGTCTCACTTTTACCTGAGGCTGAGATGAGTCTCTGGGAGCTTCACACAAGAGCCACTTCTCTAGAGCCGCTGCTGCTACAAAATACCACCAGACACAAACCCAACACATAGCCTCACCTCTGTCACACTGACACTTCCACAGCAGCAATGCTGACTTCACTTGAATTTTGAAAGGAAGTATAGATAGTGCTGTACTGATAGACTTGCAACTGTTCTAGCACACGAGACTACTTAAAATATATATTTTAATCA